GATTAAAAGATTTCAAGGAAATATTGAACGATTTCATTTTAATCCAATTCCATTAAATAAATATTCAAGAAAATTATTTACTAATATTGAAACATTTCATATTTATGATGAATATGATAAAATATTTCATGATGGAAGAATATTTAAACAAGTAATATGGTATAAAGTAAGTTATTCAACATATTTACAAGAGAAAGAACAAGGAAATATCTGTAAAGATATAAAATATACAAAAGAAGATAGAAAATCATATGGGAATACAATACCATCAGAAGTTAAATCACTTGGATATGATTGTTTTGAATATTGTTATGAATTAACAACAATTACTATACCATCATCAGTTAATGAAATAGGATTTGGATGTTTTTCTAAATGTGATTCATTAACATCAATAACTATACCATCATCAATTAGTGAATTAGGAGATTTGTGTTTTTATAGATGTTCATCATTAACATCAATGAATATAGAAAATCTACAATTTATTAGTAAAGAAAGAATATTTATGAATGAACCAGTGTTAGTTAGTATTGAAATACCACATAATCTACAAATAATCAATGGAAAGAATATTTTCAAGAAAGATATTAATGAATTTATTATTCCATCTTCAATTACTAAATTAGGATATCGTTGTTTTAATGGATGTATATCATTAACAACAATTAATATACCAACATCAATTAGTGAAATAGGTGATTGGTGTTTTAAACAATGTTCATCATTAAAAACAATTAATATACCATCATCAATTAGTAAATTAGATAATTGTTGTTTTGATAGATGTACATCATTAACATCTATCAAAATACCATCATCAATTAATGAATTAGGAAATGGTTGTTTTTATGGATGTTCATCATTAACAACAATTAATATACCATCTTCAATTAGTAATATAGGAAATTGGTGTTTTGAAGGATGTACATCATTAACATCAATTAATATTCCAAGTAAAGTTAAAGAACTAAGAGAGGATTGTTTCAAAGGATGTTCATCATTAAGTGATATTGATATTCCAACAACAATAAGTGAAATAGAAAAAGGATGTTTTGATGGATGTTCATCAGAATTAAAAAAGAATAAAACATTAAAGAAAATGTATTATAGAAAATATTATGATGATTGTATCGTTGTTTAATTGAAAAGATAAATTGAATAAATTTAAAGTTTTATAATATAAAAGAAACAAACAAGAAAGAAATAATATT